CTGGATATAGCAAATGATGACAAAATAAACATTTGAAACAAGATAAATGGTCTATGCTTAATTTCATTAAGTGTGCGATTAATCGCGATTAATCGCAGAAAGAGGATGATTAATCAGATTAAAAATTGTAATCGATTGACAGCCCTAATATATATATATATATGTGTGTGTGTGTGTGTGTGTGTGTGTGTGAGAGCCTGGACCACAAAACCAGTCATAAGGGTCAAATTTTCAAAATTGAGATGTATATATCATCTGATAACAAATAAGCTTTCCATTGATGTATGGTTTGTTAGGATAGGACAATATTTGCCCGATATACCACTATTTTAAAATGTGGAATCTGAGGGTGCAAAAAAATCTAAATACTGAGAAAATCACCTTTAAAGTTGTCCAAATGAAGAAAATTAAGTTTTAATATATTTACAGTAGGAAATTTACAAAATATCTTTACGGAACATGATCTTTACTTAATATACTAATGATTTTTGGAATAAAAGAAAAATCAATAATTTTGACCCATACAATGTATTGTTGGCTATTGCTACAAATATACCCCAGCGACTTAAGACTGCTTTTGTGCTCCAGGGTCACATATATGCCTATATATATAAAATATAATTATTTTGTTGCTTATTTTACCAGATAATTTTGTTAAAAATATATTTTCTAATAAAAAGTAAACAAATATACACAAAACTGTATTTTAATTTATATTTTTATTTAATTTATTCCATGGTCCATCTGAATACTGGATTCTGGAATACATTACCACATGATCCCTCAGAAATCATTCTAATATGCGGATTTGCTGCTTAAGAAACCTTTCTTGTCAATGTTGAAAACAGTTGTGCTGCTTTATATTTTTTGTGGAAACTGTAATATATATATACTGTGTACATATACATTACTGTGCAAAAGTCTTCACCAAAAAAAAAAATAGTTTTAAGCCAGTTATTTCTATCTGTCTACTTCTAAGACACTTGAAGAAACTTTCATGCGAAGCTACCTGAAAAACTATGTGCAAGTGTACCTAGGAAAAAAAGCGGTTTTAAATGCAAAGGGTGGTCACACCAAATGTTGATTTGATTTAGTTAATAGAAGTTAATTGATAAATAAAATCTATTTATAGCATAGTTTTTGAAAACATCCTCACCTAAAACTTAAAACTTTTCACAGTACTGTAGCTTTGCAGTAAGGTTTCTTCAGGTGTCTTGGAGACGTTGGCCACAGTTCTTCTGGATTTAGTCTGTCTCAGTTTTTTTCTGATTCTTCATGTCATCCCAGACAGACTGGATGACGGTGAGATCTCGTCAGACTCCTTGTGCATACAAAAATCTCCCTGGATTATTACAGTTAATGGCAAAATTAATGTTTGGAAATGCTGACACACTGCAGCAAAAGATAGAAATTGCACAGAACTGTATAGAATAGTTTTTGTCATGTCATTTGCAAACAGATCATTACAGTTGAGAACCTTCTTGTCGGTTCTGCCTTTTCTCTCGACAGATTTTTATCAAGAAAGCGGAGTGACTGGTGTTCAACAACACCTTGTGACTTCACCGGGTCTCTGGTGCAGGATGGAGTTTGCTCAGCACCTCCACATGAGCTCTTCAAACGAGTTTCTTTAGCGCCAACTGCTGGCTAAGAGCTGTTCTAGCAGGGTAGAGAACGCCAGGCGAGCGCTCCCTCAAGGACATACAGCTGGAGCTGTCAGATGTGCCCAGTAGCTGGCAGACGACTGATGATGCTGTATTTTGTAAACTTTATTTATATGTATATATGCCCATGGTTGAGTTTCTGTAATTACACTGGTCTGTTGTCAAGGGCTTCCTGAGCGGTCTCTCGCCCGTTTCACGATGCACTTTGACATTCAGCAAATGCTGCTTTTGGAACGGAAGACTATTCTTAATTTCCTACTCGAGATTCGATTTTCAAAGTTGAATTTGTGTTGTTAATTAGTTGACAAATTATTCTGTTTAGGCTACTCCAAATGGTGTGTATTTATTGTATTTATTATGATACATTAAGAGTACACACAGACATATGGCCGTGCTAGATATGTGTTGGTTCGTGCACAGGCCTAGCGTGTGTTTCCAAAGTCAGTCCAAAAGATGCGTTATAATGAAAGAGTAATGTTTATTGTAACTAGAGTATGCTGCAAAACTGTTTCTTCTAAAAACTGAAATCGCTGGACTTTTCTTGATATCATTAAAATGAAATCAATCATGATAAACAAGGAAGGGAAATTCACCTTCTGATTTTTTTTTACATTTTTTTATTATCATTTTTTTGCTTTCCAGTAACACATATTATTTCTTGCTATGTTGTTTTTCCTCTTCCTGCCTTAACGTGAGACAGTAGCGTGCTGATGTGGCCGCATTTTACAATAGAGCCAGTAGAGTAAACAGAATCAGATCATAGACCAAAAACCTGCCAGAGACATGTACAACTGTGGCTTGAAATCTGTATAGCTCGGTGTGAAGCAGTGCACTGGTATTTAGATGCTCGGTTTGCTCTCTGATGATAGAAATAATTCATATTTATCAGATGCTACACAAATTTGTCAAGGGTTCGAATATTTTTTTCATGCCTTAAAATGATTCACCAATGATTTCAGTATCATAATACAAAACTGATGGTTATAGCTAAACTGAGCAATCAGCACATTTGACAAGATCTTGAGCTAGAGCCAAGTAATCTTCAAAGAAAGAAAAAGAGAAGGTTTGTGCAGTAAGATAACACCATCTGGCCTACAACAACGCTGATGTTGTTTTAGAGGAGAGTCACTTCCCCCGCACAGGTCGAGGAGAAATACAGCGCCATCAACTTTCACTATCCCTTCATTGTTTTCTCCTGATTAGCCCAAATGAAATCAAATGAAAATGTAATGCTCCTGTCAAACAGTTTGAATAAAGACAAAGTCCAAACTTGACTTGTTTATATATTGTTATGAAGAAGTGGTTGCAAAGTATTGTTTTTATACTATCTTCAAAGTTGTGAGTATGATTATAAATCCAAAAATCAAAAGATATATAATTCTATTTTTCTAAGAATATATGTGACCCTGGACCACAAAAGCAGTCTTAAAGGCGTACACACCTCACGCACCGGATGCCGTGCGCGCGCCCAAAGACAGTTGGACATAGTGGTGTATTAGAGGTAAAATATGATATAAATACTGTTCGGTTTCTGGCACAAACCGATCGTTTCGTGTCTTAGGACATCAATGTGCCGTCACGAGCCGCAGGGTTTAATTTGGATTTGTCTGTGCATGTTTTTTTTACTCTCATAGATTTTGTTACCATTGCCATGCATTATACGACTGATAGACTGCAACGGTTGGACTTAAAAATCATCATATGTGTTCTACTGAAGAAACAAAGTCACCTACATCTTGGATGCCCTGGGGGTAAGCAGATAAACATCAAATTTTCATTTTTGGGTGAACTATCCCTTTAAGTCGCTGGGGTATATTTGTAGCAATAGCCAAAAAAAACATTGTTGGGTCAAAATTATTGATTTTTCTTTTATGCCAAAAATCATTAGGATATTAAGTAAAGATCATGTTCCATGAAGATATTTTGTAAATTTTCTACCGTAAATATATAAAAACTTAATTTTTGATTAGTAATATGCATTGCTAAGAACTTCATTTGAACAAATTTAAAGGCGATTTTCTCAATATTTTGATGTTTTTGCACCCTCGGATTCCAGATTTTCAAATAGCTGTATCTCGGCCAAATATTGTCCTATCCTAACAAACCATACATCAATTGAAAGCTTATTTATTTAGCTTTCAGATGACTTAAACATCTCAATTTTGAAAAATGTACCCTTATGACTAGTTTTGTGGTCCAGGGTCACATATATATTTATAACAAGTGCCTTTGACTTTACCCACCCAATTTCTGATGACAATTTTTGCCATGTTTTTATAATATTCAGTTCTATCCAGTGAATAAATACATCAATATTCAGCATTATTTATGAGGTCATGAAGACCCCTTGGGGGTGTCTTTATAAGCCAGTTTTATAGTAAGAAGGTTAACGAGTTAACCAGTCCTTGTCAGCTAATGTAAATGAGATGATGCCCATCTGAAAAACAAACAAGATCAGAGACTTTTAGGGTGTGCCCTAATCACTAAATCCTGGAATTTAGTTTCACTCGCATGACAATAACCAGCAATAAAGAATCTAGTCACAAATTCACACAATAAAGGATGTGAAACTTACATTTAAATTAAATGGGCAAATCAGCTTGAAGGAGAACAGATGGAAACACACGGTGTGTGCTGCCACACAAGGACCCTTAAAGGGATGAAGTTTCTACATCATTTACTCACTGTATGACACCAAAACTGTTTGATTACCAATATTCTTCTGAATTTTCATTTTTGGGTGAACCGTCGCTTTAACAACGAAGAAAACATTGTTTGCCTTTGAAGTTAATGCTAGGATAATGTCTGTTATTATACGTTATATATTATATATGTGTAGCCTACTACAACATTACGTTGTGTCACAATTCATAATTCTTCTAAATTTAACCAAATTTGTCGTTATGTTTGTTTTTATGGTGACTGTACTAAACCTAAGGTAGCTTGTTATTAGACACCACCAAGACAGTATTATTCTACAAATCTAATTCTATTATTTTCAAACATTTAGACCAGAAGCCTGCATGACAACAATTTTCGTCAAATGTTTGTCCAAAATTTTTACTGCTATAAAATCTAAAATAAATTTGGCATGTGGACAAATTGTTGCTACATAAAAAGCTATTTGACTTTTTCCCAAGTATCCTTCGTCTTTCACTTCCACTGTGATGTGTCCAATAAGCGTCTCTTGCCCTGTCCTCGACGGCCAATCAGCGGTGTCCACGAGGTGCAGGTCGGAGGCGGAGACCTCAGTCCATGACAGACGTAAAATCTGCCCAATCACCATATCGTAATGTCTAAGAGGCGTGTCTACGCCGAGTACTGTAGCCAATCGGATGCGCGTAGAAGGCGGAGCCTCTGTTTCTGGATTCTTCGTCCACAGCTACACGTGACACGCTGGAGTCGCAGGCGGAGTGCTGGCTGAGTGAGCACGGGTGAGTACACTAAACCTGCGAATATGAGCTTTACTACACCTGTGTGCCTTTCAGTTCATGTGCAGTATTTTTTGCCGATGTGTTATTGTAAGAGAGCAGGATTATATGGTTCAGCTCGAGTGTTAAACTGAGAATATGTGCGTAGTTGGTCAGTTAGCTGCTTGAGCTAAGCTAACTGATACAGGTGTCATGTCAATAAAATCAGCCGTATAATCAAAACTTATCACAGAAACCTGCTTCACGTTATCGATCGTGGGATTTTCTTGTCAACGGATTGAGATGAAAGCGGAAGTGCGGTTTGTGGGGTCTTATCTAATGTTGAGCTGCTGACAGATTTGCCAATTAATTAATTAATTAATTAATGAAGTTAGTCAAACGTGCGGTGACTGATTTACTTTAAGTTGCTCTGACCTCTGCACATTAAAATGATTATATACACACATGTAAGGTTTAATGAATTTTTCATGAACGTTATTCACAAAATATACATTTGTAAGTTAGATGTACGATTTCGTAGGTGTTTCTAATATTAAATATATACGTTAGCATGTAGATATGCACTTAGCATGATGTTTATCTCGAACGCAATGATCAAATATCACTCAACCTAATCTTTTGCTTTCAGTTTGAGTTCATAAATGGTGGTTTGTGGAATGGCATGGCTGTGTGGGGGATATAAGTTCATGCGGAAAAGCCAAACCGGCTGAACTAGAGCCGCACATGTCAGTTGAACCGTCATTTCCGCCCTTTAAGAGGAAAGGTAGAGGTCACGCGAGAGATACTCTGACATTTGCATGGGCTAGAAACTGAAATGAAGTTTGGTCAGATTAAAACCAAAGAACGCTTGGGATAAGACTTCGTATTTGCTCATATATTAACAGAATCATGCAGCTTATCTCAGCAAGAGAGTAGTTAACATGTAACTACATGTTTTCGGATTCTGGCACTTTGAATGTAGAGCTCAACTTTGACCTTTATGTTTACCCAAAAGATCACTTTCCTGGTGGTAACTCTTGTCAAGGAGTTTAACACTTTATTCAAGTTCCTTGTCGTTGATATCTATGAACTAGGTCATTTGAATAATATACACAGTTTTATCTATTCGCTTTTATGGCCTGTATCCTGCTCGGAGGCATTGAGTCACACTTCACTGGTGCACTCTGGGAAGGTTGTGTGTAGAAGGTCTGTGGTACCTTCCCCCATCGTCTCAAGCCCAGATCTGTGGCACTCGAGCGTAAAGAGGCTTAACCATGTGTTCTGGAAGTGTATGCATTCACTATTGTGTGCTGAATTGAACAGACCCCTGGTTAGACCATGCTGGGACCTCCATGTGTGGCTTAATCACATATAAGTCTGACATAACGAGCGCCTGCTCTGGACAATCATTTAACCAGCGCTTTCAGTTGTACAAATATAACATGCAGTCGACCGGTTGTTATTGCGGTATACACTGCAGTATGATGATCAAGTCTTGTATCAGCCTGAAGATGTTTATGAAGCACAAACAACTGGCTGACTGTACATGGCTGGTATTGTGACGATAATTATTTAAGTTTTTCTGATCATTTTTGTTGTTGTTTATCTAAATATGCTTTCTATTAACACCTTGAAACACCTTCTTTGCAAGAACCAGCTATGACATTTTGAGTAAAAGTTAGAAGGTGCATGAATGAATAAAAGAATAAAACCTGTGCACGGATGAATTGTCACAATAACTTCTATAACATGCATCTAGAAAATAGTGAATTTTCATTTCATGCCAAAAGGAAAATATTTTAACACACACAAAAAAAACTTTTAGGGTTTAATGATGTAAACTAATCATTCAGAGTTCAGCTGATAGATTGATTTGAATTGATTCACTTAGAAAGTTTTAACTCGTTAAATGAAATTAATTATGTTTACCAACTCCAACAGCAGCAAGTTATATTTTTTTTCTGGTTCTTATACTTGCGGGTTTAGTTTAATGACAGGATCTTGAGAAATCTTAATAGCCATATGAAACCATTGTGATATTCACAGTGTTGCTTTTACTTTATATTGCTAGCAAAATCATATTTCATTATATATTGTGCATAATCAGTTTATTGCCTATTACAACATAATATTTTGTCATGTGAAAAGAAAGAGCCATGAAACTATAGCACAGATCTGTAGGAAAGTGTTTTTTTACAGTCTGTCAGTCATTATGCAAAGCTGCCTGACCACAGGACGCTGCAGTGACCAGAGAAGACTGGCTGATCGGAGCTGTTGATATGGGTCTGTGGGCTTCATCAGCGGCTGCTGTGGCGGCTCCAATGGATCAGTCGTATTTAATCAGCAGAGCAGATCTCTGCTCAAACTGGATTTGAAGCAGCTCACTGTCCGTTAGCACTGCAGTGTTGAATGCCTTCCTCTTTCAGTCCCAATTGTTTGTTTTATGGGGGGCAGGATGGAGTCAGAACTAATGAATCTGCTGTGTCCAAACAGGAACCGCTAGACCCCTTCTAATGATCCTTCGTAGAAATAATCAGTCTGTTCTGTAGTGATGTCTTTCAGTCTAATTAATGGGCTGATATTGGCCAATAACTCTGTCTGTTTGGACGATTAAGAGAAGTGTTAGTTCCCACTTGTGTTTTCAATGCTTCTAAATCACTTACACACGCACTCACTCACACACAATATTATTCTTTGAACTAATGTGAATTTTCAGTAAATATTGTGTGAAAATAATGGTCATTTAGTTAGTCTCAGTCCAAAAATCTGGGACCTTCAAAATTGAGGATTAAAAAAAGAAAATTAATGACGTCAAATTAATAAAAAATAATCAGCTGTTTGCTTTTATCTCTAGTAGTTTCTATTTCTAGTGTCTTTTTAGAAAGAAAACTGCATTTGACATTGATCCATTCAAATAACATGTTGGTCTGAAAGCACGCTGTTGCTAAAACAGTGTTTCAGTCTTTCAAGAAGGGGAAACAGTGAGTTTTACTATTAGTATTGATTAACCTGTTTTTTCTTTTCACAACCGCACAAATAATCCTAGTGTTCCCCTGATTTTTATTTTTTTACTTTTTATTTTTTTAATCAAACAGTGATCTTCAGCAATCTTTAGCAAGTGTTGCATGAGTCGGTGGGTCTCTGCTAAATGCTCTATTTAATTTTGCTGATGTCTTGCGTTGGTTTAGCTCAGATGCTGGTTAGCTTTAATAGTGCTGATGATGGAGTGCTGGCGTTGTGTGTGTTGTCTGTAATCGCTCTACCCCCACAGATGATCATTAGTTCAGTGAGCAACAGATGGGTCAGGAGTGTATCCTGTGACCCCCAGCTAGGGCTGGACGAAATGGCCAAAATTTATATCACGATATATTTCTTAATTTCGGTCGATACGATATAATTCCGATATCGAT